AAACAGAGTTTAAAAACAGGTAAAACTAAAATATATTGTTTAGGGATATACATACATGTCAAAACTACAGGGAGGTGGGCAGCATGTGATTAGGGGCAGGCATAAGAGAAGCCTTCCAGGATGCTGATATTGTTCTATTGGTGATTACCACACCCGGCTAATGCTTTTTTTTTTAATTTGGTAGAGATGGGGTTTTGCCATGTTGGCCAGGCTGGTCTCAAACTCCTGGCCTCAAGTGATCTGCCCACCTCAAACCTCCCAAAGTGCTGGGATTATAGATGTGTGCCACTGCATCTGGCCAGATGCTTAATATTTTAAAACCAGCCTGTGGTAGTTACCCCTCAGAGAATAATTTTTTTTTCCTTTAAGACAGGGTCTCACTCTGTCATCCAGGTAGGAGTACAGTGGCACAATCATAGGCGCACTCCAGCCTTTAACTCCTGGGCTTAAGCAATCCTCTCGCCTCAGCCTCCCAAGTGGCTGAAACTACAGGTGTGTGACACCATGCCAGGCTAATTTTTATATTTTTTGTAGAGATGAGGTCTCACTATGTTGCTCAGGTTGGTCTGGAATTCCTGGCCTCAGGCAATCCTTCTGTCTCCCAAAGTGCTGGGATTACAGACAGAAGCCACTGTGCCTGCTTGAAAGAGACATAGTTTCTATAAAAAAATGGTAATATTGGGTTCTAAACAGAGGATCTTAGGGAACTCTCCAGTAAAAGTTTGGGAGTTTGGGACACAAAATTTAACATTTAGGATTTTTTCTTTTTTTTGACTTGTCATAAACCTCAAACCATGTAAAAACAAGCAATTATATACACATTAAAACATATACTCACAAAGAACATAAAAATGTCATTAAGTCCTAATTTGGACACAAAAATTAAATGGGCTTTACTGTTTTCATTAGGCTGATTCTCTTTTCCCTAAAGGAAAGAGTCTAAAAGTCTCTGCCTGGTAACAAAATCTATAATCTGGTCCAAATCAAATTTACTGATTTTGAATCCCATTGTTCTCCACCTACTTCAGTCACACTGGCCTACTCAGTTATCTCCCAAACTCATCAAGCTCATGATACCTTTGCTCACTCAGGTTCCCTCATCCAGAACGTGTTTCCTTTTCTCCATTCATGTTAATCCTCCCATTTTTAAAGGCGTGGCTTGTTTTACTGCCTTTTTCTATTCTTCACCGGATTACTCTGTCCCATGATGGTTTCTCCTCTCTCTAACTCCCTTGGCTCATTCTAACATGCAAAAACTTGCTTTTTATTGTTGTTTACTTTAAAAAAAATCTTTTGCATTGTGAAATATAATGCACACACAGAAGAATAAACAAAACAAAAGTAAAAAGCTTAATTATTCCAAAGTGAAGATCTATAGCCCAGGTGCAGTGGCTCATGCTTATAATCCTAGCACTTTGGGAGGCCAAGGCGGGTGGATCGCTTGGGATCAGGAGTTCGAGACTAGCCTGGCTAACACGGTGAAAACCTGTCCCTACTAAGAATATAAAAATTAGCCAGGAGGGACAGAGCAAGACTCCGTATCAAAAATAAATAAATAAATAAATAAATAAAAAAGGCTGGGAACAGTGGCTTACGCCTGTAAACCCAGCACTTTGGGAGGCCACACCTATAATTCCAGCCCTTTGGGAGGCCAAGGTGGACGGGTCACCTGAGAGGTCAGGAGTTCAAGACAGCCTGACCAATATGGTGAAACCCCATCTCTACTAAAAATACAAAAATGAGCGAGGCATGTTGGTGGACGCCTGTAATCCCAGCTACTCAGGAAATTGAGACAGGAGAATTGCTTGAACCTGGAAGGCGGAGGTTGCAGTGAGCTGAGATCATGCTGCTGCACTCCAACCTGGGCGGCAGAGCGAGACTGTCTCAAAAACAAAAACAAAAACAAAACTAATAAACTTCCTCTAGGTCCAGAAACAGAAAATTGTTACTATCTAGAAATCCTCTTCATTTTCCTCCCTAATTACTAACACCCTTTTCCTTCCCCTATCCCTTACAAAAAGATAACCACTATTCTAAAAACTATAGTAATTCCTGGCTTGATTTTCTTTATAATTATACCACCTAAATATGCAATCTCAAATACAATAGTTTTTTGAATTTCATATAAATGGAATCATACAGTATGTATATTTTTGTGTTTGGCTTTCTTTATTGAACATGAGAAATGTACATGTTGTATAACAATGTTCATTTTCATTCTGTATAGAAAACATATTTATACTCATTTAAACAAATGGATGATTCATTTTTTTTTTGATGATTCATTTTTATCCATTCTGCTGTTGATGGACCTTTGGGTTACTTAACTTTTAAAAAGTATGTATCTTTTTGTCTCTTCAGCTAGAATGCAAGTTTCTCGAAGGCAGGCACCATATACTATACTATTTTATATTTACCTTAGTATTAATATTTAGCATAATGTTAAGCACATAATGGGTGTCCTCAATCACAGTAAATATTGATTAAATGAATCTATTGATAGGTTGTGAGATAAGAAAAAAATAAGTACAGTTGGAGATCAATTTAATATTTTTAGAGATAGTTATATAACTGGCCTTTTATAACTACTATTACTTAGATAAAATGTTTGACCTCTTCTATTCATTTACACCTAAGGATTTATTGTCTTTTATTCTTCCTGAGCCAAATGAAAGCTAAATATTTGTTAACTATCCTCAAAAATAAAATTAGAGCAATTCAAAAGGTGGTTAATGTTTATTTATTTATTTATTTTTTGAGGCCTCGCTCTGTTGTTCAGGCTGGAGTGCAGTGGTACAATTTCGATTCACTGAAGCCTTGACTTCCCAGGCTCAAGCAATCCTCTTGACTCAGCCTCCTGGGTAGCTATGACTTCAGGCATGTGCCACCATGCCCAGCTAATTTTTTTGTTTTAAATATTTTGTAGTGATGGGGTCTCACCATGTTGCCCAGGCTGGTCTTGAACTCCTGCGCCTAAGCATTCCTCTCACCTTGGCCTCCCCAGTGTTGGGATTACAGGCATTAGCCACTGCATCCAGCCATCTACTCATTTTGTACAGTATCTCACCAATATATCAAGTACGGTCCATGGCCATAGCTCTCAATGAGCTGCTTTACTTTTTATTCTATTTCCTAAAATTTATATTAACCATTATAAACACATGAAGACAAGCTCAAAAGCAAAAATTCCAGTGCATAAGGTCAGCAGGAAATTAATCATTCCTATTCAAAGCTAAAACAAACCAAATAGCTTTTAGTTCTATATCCTCTTTTTCTACAATCAGTGACTGTTTCCTAGGTAATGTGTAAACGTCTCAAAAGAGTATTTATGCCACCTAATCTTCAGTCCTATTCTGACATTCTCTTGGAGAGCTGGTTTTGCCTTTTCGCTTATTTGCCTTTTATAAAACTGAAGCCTCATAAACTTCTCAGCAAACAGGAAAACATATTTCTGGGCAAGAATTTCTGATATACCTACATCTTGGCCAGGTACACAATAAGCATGTCTCTAATATTAGTTTTAACAATGCACAGACTATAACTGGTCTTGTAAATTTTGTTCAAGTTGTTAATTTAACAAGAAAAAAAGTAAAAAGGAAAATAGTAAATAAATGAAAGGCAAAATCTAAACAACAATGGTATTCCCAAGTCGAAGAATTGATGTAGAAAAGAAGAGCTGTTACTACTTGTATGCAGCCAATTTACTTCTAGCTAAGGATAATTATCAAAGCCAAATTTAGTATTTTTAAAATCTAAAATAACATTCTAATTTTATATGTTTTCAAAACTGAGGCCAGTAATAAATACACCTCTTTTTATGTGTATGTGTAGGGGTGTTATTTACTAAGGCTTTCCTGGAAAGAAAGCAGATTGTTTAAAATGTTACCTTCGTAACTTCTTCATGAGGGACTAGTGTGATGAGAAAACACAGTAAAAAGTTACAAATGAAGGATGATGATGTATACTAGTAGTAGACAAGCCAGGAAAACTGTTGGTTATATCACAAGACTAAGGATCTCAAGACTAACTATACTATAAAATAAATGTTCCATTAAATAAGGAGACATTTAGGGAAAAAAGGCAAAAGCTAAAATTATTTTTAAAATTTTTTAAAAATTAAAATAATCCTCTATTGTTTATGTATGTGTATGTATGTGTGTGTATATATATATAACTACACACACACACACACACATATATATATATATATTTTTTTTTTTTTGAGACAGGGTCATTCTGTTGTCCAGGCTGGAATGCAGTGGTGCAATCTTGGTTCATTGCAACCTCTGCCTTCCAGGTTCAAGCGATTCTCCTGCCTCAGCCTCCCGAGTAGCTGGGATTATAGGCACAAGCCGCCACACACGGCTAATTTTTATATTTTTGGGTAGAGACGGGGTTTCACCATGTTGGCCAGGCTAGTCTTGAACTCCTGGCCCCAAGTGATTCACTCACTTCGGCTCCCCAAAGTGCTGGGATTACAGGCGTGAGCCACTGTGCCCGATCCAATTGTTGATATTTGACTTATAAAGATGCACAAGGAAAAAAAAAATTATTTCTGCTATAAGAAACCTACCAATTGTTTATTTCTGTAAGACAGCTAATCACACATGTTCCTTGTCTTTTCATTTAAAAGACTATTTCTCCTCAAAGCTGAAGAAGACTTCGATGTGTGGGCCCTCTTTCTTACTTTAATAAGGGGTTGTTATTTTGCCTTTAATCTGACTTGGGAAACTACAAGTACAAAACTTTATACTATATCCTCCTCTCTTATATCTTCTAAAATTTTGGAGTAATTTTGAATTAAATACACTTCACATAATTATACTTCTGGATTTTTACCCTCCAAGTAACAGTCACTGTCCCAACTCCTCCATCTTTCAGATGGCTGGAGCACAATTCTAAGACCAATTTAGTATTAAATATATTCCATTAGATTACTTCCTAAAACATTCCAATATTTAATAGTCTTTGAGATAGCCTAGCAAACCTAATTGCATTACCTCTTTATCTTTTAGTCCTAGAAGCAATACTTCTTCCATAAGAGTAAGGCGGATATCCTTAGAGTCTCCAGAATCTTCATTGTCTGGACTTTTCTCCCAATTACTGTCTTCCTCACTTTCCATCTTCTTTTCAGAGTTCTTGCTTACTTCAGTGCGACGGGCCCGATGAGTTAAAGTGGTCATTCTCACCTGTTTCTGGAGGGAGTAGTGAAAAAAAATACATATGTATGCTTATGTAAATAAATCATATATTCATACATGCATACTAAACATGTATACAAATAGGAAATATTTACAGATTTAAATATAGAAAGTAATGACTAGAAAAAGTGGGTGGGTAATACAGTATCTTTTCCAAAGTACAATAGCTTGAACTTCACAGATGGCACTGACAAAAGATCAAATGAGTAATTCTAAAGTCCAGTATAAATGATCATCTTTCAAGCCTGGTGACTTCTTCTTTTCTTTTTCTTCTTCTTATTTTTCTCGGGAGGGAGTCTCGCTCTGTTGCCCAGGTTCGAGTGCAGTGATGCGATGTTGGCTCACTGCAACCTCTGCCTCCCAGGTTCAAGGGATTCTTGTGCCTCAGCCTCCTGAGTAGTGGGATTACAGGTGTGTGCCACCACACTTGTCTAATTTTTGTATTTTTAGTAGAGACAGGGTTTCACCATGTTGGCCAGGCTGGTCCCAAACTCCTGACCTCAAGTGATCTGCCTGCCTGGGCCTCCCAAAGTGCTAGGATTACAGGCATGAGCCACTGAGCCCAGCCAAGTCTGCTGATTTTTTCTGCATAATCTATAAAGAAGGAGTGAATGTCCACCATTGTCACTCCTCTTTCACAAAATGGATCCCAAGTTAAGTAAGATGGAACAACAAAAAATTGTGAGCATCCAGCCCCAAAATGCATACAATAATTTGTATCTAATTTCTATAAACATTTAATGGTACTACATCATAAAACATACACAAAAAAATAGAAAGTAAAAAAGAATATGAAAAACTAAATAGAAATACATGTTCTAGATTTCCTTCCCATACCTTAATAACTCATTTCATATACTCACTTTGGAGATCACAAGTCTAGACAATAACATTCAGAAAATCATGTGTAGTAATTCCACAGTCAGTAAACTTAGCAGCTCTAGTCCTGGCTAGCCACATCTTGCAAATACACAAGGAGCTGCAAACAAAAATTACTGGCAAGAGAGTGTTAAAAGATTAACAAATTCTTTCTCAATTTTTTTAAAAAAAATCAAAGAACATGTCTTTTATTCTATGTACTACAGTCAAAAGACACTGCACTAAATCATTTGTGATAAAGTTTATAGTTAGCATACTTTATTTTATATAAACCTAGATAAATCAGTTTTTAAGATAATATGCAACAAGTATTTAAAATCAGCAATTATATAAAGAAGTATCTTTCTCAAGATCAAAATAATGGTATTTAATAGTTGCTATGACTAGACTCGTTTCTACTCCTCTAGCAATATTTCCCATTACTCCCCATAAGTACTGTTGCCAAACTTTTTCTCAAAAACGTCTCATGCTTTCTTTCTGCTTCTGCTCCTCTGTACTTGCTGGGGTCCTCACCCTTTTCTCTTCCTCTCTACCTTCTACCCATTCTTTAAAGGCCCTGTGAAGGCCTTTAAGTGACTTCCTCTTTTCTATTACCTACATGTCTCATGGCCACTCCCTCAGCTGTACTTTCACAGAGCTTTATTTATACTCACTTCCTTTAAAGTATTTATTATAGTCTTTCTCTTGGTATAGCTGTCTCTCAACTGTAAACTTCTTGAGAACAGGGATATTGTCTTCTTGGGTTTTTATACTCTCCATAGCAACTAGCAGTGTCTTTAACGTTGTAATTGCTCGATAAATGTATACTGATTAAAATGAATACTCAGAAGTGCATGTGAACATTTAAAATAGAAATACAAATGAAGTGAGCTACAAAAGGTTTTTTGTACAAGGGTATATTTCAAATATTATTTGTTATGGGAGGTGGGAAGAAGAGCGAAGGAGGAAGAGAACCATGAAATAAATGCTTAAGGGCACTAAGCCTATCTGGCACTGTGAATAGGGACTATTTCCTAAATCAATCCAAGAAACTTTAAACCTTCGGGGGGGGGGGGTGGGGGTGAGGGGGTGGGGCGGTTTCTTTGAGAAATTAGTTTCACCTGGACATTTACTAGTTAAAAATCCTACTTGAAAGAAAACAAATGGCCCAAATGAATAAAAACCTTTTCCTCCCCATAAAATAATAATTTTAAAAATTAGAGGTTTTTTTGGGGGGTGGGGAAGGGACGTTAGGAAATGTAATTTTCTCGTTGCTTACCTGATGTTACTCCTGGGTTATGGCTGGACGCAGGCTGTAGCTTGTGCTGTATTTTAGGGGGCCACCTGTTCCCCCCACCCCACCCCCGTCCTAGTAGGTGAAAAACTTCCACGCAGAGAGCACAAACTTCCTGATCCTTCGATGCAGAAAAGGAATAACACATCAGCTTCCTCAGGATCACTAGGCAACCTACCTTGGTGTTTCTTCATTGGGCCAATCAGAAATCACCAAGGTTGAGTCCCGCCAATCGGAGCTCATGGTGGGAGGCTCTCCCCCAGCTATTCTGTTGCAATCCAGACAAACACCACCAAAAGGAGGCAGGTTTGCGTTCAACCTGACAGCTGGTCAATCCAATGAAGGAACCTTGGTGGAAGAGAGGAAAGAGGGCTGCGCTCCCCACCCCCATTAAACCAGCCAATCCAGGCGCTGAGTGAGCTAACACGGACTGCCAATCTCCAAAGGTTTCTGTTGGTCAATTTCAGTGTAGCAGGTGTGTTGCTGTAGTAGCATACACTGGGACAATTAAGTGAGATGTGTTGGGATCCAAGCACTACAGCTAAGAATAAATAAATATTTTTACATTGGTTGTTTCTGGCAGTCAGTTTATCCTTGACTTGACTGTTCCAGAAAAACATGGTCTGGGTCAGTTTGTGTACGTTTATATGGTTAACCTTAAACAGGATGAATACATTTCTACCATCGCATACCTACCAGCATTCCCTATAGCGCTTATTAATGACAAACCCATGGATAGTGTATGTTTTTGGAATATGGCTGCTGAAACTACAAGAGGCAAAGAGACCAAGTTTTAAGTCTTCCTTTTTCTAAAGCAAAGAAAGCAGGCAAGGCTGGAACTAGCTCCCAGGTTTCTCATGAAAAGCACAGCATTTTTCATACTACCACTCAAAAATTCTAGAAAGTGTGCTCAACTCTTCTTGCAAAAGTAATAGCTACCAAAATCATCTAAAAATTAGTATTCCCTATCCCCCCATCCTTCTACCAGCCTTTCAAATGAATGGAGCCATATTTCCTGCTACTTAAATAAAAATTAGAAGCGATGAAACGGCCTACGTACTGAACAATATTTTATTTATGCTGCAAAAAATGCCATACTTTAAAAATCAGTCTTTTTGTCCTGTAAAAAAAGTATAGTAAAGGTAAAGCACCAATTTTTAAATTGTACACTATATATTAAAATATTAATACATTATATCAAAATATTGAAGAACATTGTTTTAATAACAGCACAACGACAAAAGAGCCAGTTAAATGGTATAATTTTAACATAAGTAAAAAGTGAATCCATACCAAATTTTAATACCAAAGCAAACATTACTGTTTAGAAAAATGACATTAGAGGGCCTTAACAGTATGTATTTAATGGAAATATCAAGTAGATAATGAACAAAATCAATTTTCAAATTTTACTTATTACAGAATCAATTATGACATTTGTACTTTTGCTTTTATTCGAAAGTTCTGTTGGATTTATCTCAAGATTAAGGACCACAATATGACGGCCAGCCAAGAACTTAATTTTAGTGTACAAACTGCTTTAAACTACATACACATCTTCAGAGTTAGGGAAATATAATATAGGGTCCTTCAGTTTAAATGTTGGGAAGAACTCCACAAACCTGCAGAAGAAAAATAATTTTTATATATGTTCCTTTGGTTCACTAAACTTTCTCCTTTTTGGCACTGACTCTTGACTAGAAGAATCAAAGTGATGGAGGACCTGTCAAAAGAAAACAACTACTAAGAATAGATACTTTCCTGTTTAAATGTCTTTAATTGTAAATTTTTTCATGTATCTGAGATTTCTCTCCTTTTTAAAAAAAATTATGCCTAGCATACCTAGCATAACTATATCTGGGTTTCTTAAAAGTAGAGTAAAATTTATTATTAACATCTTCCAATGGCTGCTGAAAGTATGCACTTGCAAAATGTATAATCTTCAGTAGGGTTGCTGTAGTAGTGAGAAGATAGATTTAACATTGTGTCCTCAAAATAGCCAAATATTTCAGAGGAATAAGAAGGGAAAAAGATTTAAAAATGAACTACAAATAGAAAAACATTCTACCTTGGAATCATGTAAAATTTAAATCATGTCTTGCTTTTGTACTCTTGGGATGTTAACATTTGAGCTTTAAAAGTAGTCTTAAGTTTTCAGTTGTCTAATTCTAACTTACTAATAATACTAAAATATCTGGTTGGACAAATATGCATAATTATCTCAGAAATGGCAAATACATTATCTGATTTGGTAAAATAAGATTCTAAACATGAAACAACTATAGGGTTTAAGTCAGGAAAAGATTTTTTTCTCCAGAGGTACTAGGATGAGACCCTATATTTTTAGGGAACAGATGTATTTAGTAACTTGTCCTCCTTCTACTTCAGTTTTGGTCTCTAGAAAGCTCAGATCAAATTTGTGGCCCAATTTCAGTTCTATATAAACAAAATTGCCTTAATATTCTTGTATTGTCACTTTCTCATTCTACTTATATTTTTCCTGGCACTGATTTTTTTTTTTTTTTTTAAGACGGAGTCTTGGTCTGTCACCAGGCTGGAGTGCAGTGGCGCGATCTCGGCTCACTGCAACCTCCGCCTCCCAGGTTCAAGCGATTCTCCTGCCTCAACCTCCCAAGTAGCTGGGACTACAGGCATGGCCACCATGCCCAGCTAATTTTTTTTTTTGTATTTTTAGTAGAGATGGGATTTCACCATGTTGGCCGGGATGGTCTTGATCTCTTGACCTCGTGATCCACCTACCTCAGCCTCCCAAAGTGCTGGGATTACAGGCGTGAGCCACTGCGCCCAGCCGATTTTGATTTTATATTATAAATTCCTCTGATTACTTAAAATCATTCATGGAATGAGACAGGAGATGTTTACATGGAAAAAACTAATAAACCAACATAGGGCATCTTATTTCAAAATCACCTCGATTTTTAAAACAAAATATACTTAAACAAAATTTGAATATCAGAGCTCTCAGGTACATTGAGAGATATCAAATTCATCATTTTAAATTTAATCTGTAGTAATGATATTCTGATACTTGCCATTGTATTCAAACTATACATTATCATAAGACTTACTCTTCTCCCAGATTCATGTTGACTTCTCTTCCGATTTTCTTTGGAAGATTTTACTGGTTGATTTCCATTTGCCTCCACAAAGATAGAATAATTACTAATTGGTTATTTCTCAAAGAACAGCCAACACTTGATTTTTCAATCTTATGCAACAATATGCAATATTTATGTATTTATTTATTTAGTTTTTAGGGACAGGGTATCCCTCTGTCACCCAGGCTGGAATGCAGTGGCACCATCATGGCTCACTGCAGCCTGAAACTTCTGGCCTCAAGCGATCCTCCTGCCTCAGCTTGCCAAAGTGCTGGGATTACAGGAATGAGCCACAGTGCCCAACTGGATATACAATTTAAAAAAAAAAACAGCTTTATTGAGATATAATTTAGATACTATATGATTCACCCATTTATAAGTGTACGATTCAATGATTTTCAGTACATTCAGAGTTGTACAATCATCACCACAATCAATTTTAGATCACTTTCATCACCGTAAAGACAAACTCCATATCCCTTAGCTATCGCTCTCTTATTCTGCCATCCTCCCACCAGCCTTAAGACTGTCTCAATAGCTTTCCCTGTTCTGACTTTCAAATGAATGGAATAATATGTGGAATTTTGTGAGTAACTTCCTTTAATTAGCATGTTTTCAAGGTTCATCTAAGTTGTAGCATGTACTGGCACTTCATTTTTTTTTATGGCTGATAGTCAATTGTATGAATATACCACATTTTTTAATCCATTCATCTGTTGATGTATATTTAGGTTTTTCCCATCTTTTGGCTATTGTGAATAATGCTGTATATATAGTTATTAAAATGAATATTGGAAAATGACTAATGATTAGGTGTCATATAACTATTCTCTAAAAGGACAGACTTCTTTTCTGATGCTTGAAATGACCTTTCCAGTGATAATTCCTTAGTATATATAATAATGAATATTTTCATTTCTTGCCCTTTTCTAACCACAATTCAGTAATAATTCTCAAAATCAGGAGTACACTGGCTCAGAGTTCATATCCAAAAACATGTGCAATTTCAGAAATAAATTTATGTCCCCAAAGCATCTTAATGTTACGTTACAAGGAGATCTTGCTTAATAATTTTTAAAACGCTAGTCTCTATCCCTATATCCTAGTAAAGGTTATTCATCCCACATATAAACTGGATAGGATGAACATTTTGCTTCTAGAAGTAGTAAATCTTGACATTCCTTTATATCTTGCTTTCATGAGCATACTCATTTGAATGCTGCCTTCTGCCAGTTCTAACTTCCCATTGAGAATAGGGGTGGAGGAAGACACTTAAAAATGGCACTATAATGAGTAGTGTTCTGACAAATGTTTAATAACCAGCTCTAGGAGAGAAACAAACCCTGAGGCATTTGCTGATTTCTGTGCTGTGAATACTACCAACATGTCCAATTTAAGCTACCAACATGATATCTCTGAGTGAGGAGTTGGGAAGAAATGTTCTAGTACACCACTAAACAGTGAGCTATTTATTTCCTAAACTTTGGATATTTTATGTGTTTTACAGAATGCTTTTTCTTCACCCCAATGAACCTTTGAGAGTAATTTAAAGGTCTAAAATCAAATATGAATTTTGATTTAGTATAATTCATACCAAAAGCTAAAATAAAGTAGTGATTTTTTTCCCTTAAGAATATGAGATTCATTTTATGCAAGTTATATACAAAATATTGTTTTGTAATGTCTTATTAACAAGAAACTCAATTTATAAGATTGAGCATGGTGCTCACTTCAGCAACACATATACTAAAATTAGAACGATATAGAGAAGATTAGCCTGTCCCTTGCATAAGGATGACATGCAAATTCATGAAGCATTCCATATTTTTCAGAGTGAACAGAGAACCTATAGAATGGGAGAAAATTTCCACAATCTATCCATCTGACAAAGGCCTAATATCCAGAATCTACAAGGAACTTAAACAAATTTACAAGAAAAAAACAAACAGCCCCATTAAAAAGTGGGTAAAGGGCATGAACAGACATTTCTCAAAAGAAGACATTTATGTGGCCAACAAACACATGAAAAACACTCA